ACAAAGAGATTGTCCAAGAAACTACTGTTCGGTCAGTACATGAGGCCCTCTAAAGCTGGGAAGAGACGGGAGTCTGATCCTGCTCTATCAGGTGTCCCTGGAGCACACTGGAAGTGGCCGGCTCCTGTGTGCAGGCACACCGAGTGTGCAATCGAGCCGACGCTAGGAAAAAGCAGCTATGGGCACCTCCACACTGACAGTGTCCCGAGTTCAGATTGATGCACGTCTCAATCAGTCTGCACTTAGTGGTTGTCTTCATGTTTAGTTTGGGTTTGGAGTGGGGGGTTTTTTTGAGGGAAAGTTGCACCGGATACTGATTTTTACATTAAGAAAAAGCTTTAAAAAATTGCTTGTTGCTAACAGCTTTCAAACACAACACCCTGGTGAGTCACAGGGGAGCTCCACTTTAAACCAGGCACTGTGGTGCCCATGCTGCTCCTTGAGATAGCGGCAGCAATGACAGCTGGCAGCAGAGCAAGGCTGGTTTTCTGGGAGATGCCAAGTCCAAGCACCAGCAGTGAGAAGTCTCATCCAGTCCAGCTTGAGCTGGCTGTCTTTCTCTTATAACTCGGAAAATTGACATTTTTTGTGCTCCTGGTGAGCCACATGCCAAGGGTCCAGAGAAAAAATGGAAGAAAGCAAAGTGCCATCTTTCTTAGGTTCCGTATAAAGCAGAGGGAGTGTCTGACCCATATGTGGCCCTGACAGTAAAGAGTACAAGTAGGGCATGGCTCCTGTGAAACTCAGTTGAGAGTATTTTGGCTGCAGCAGGACCCCTGTCTCAAACGAAGTGGCAGTATTTCTGTAGCTGTATGAAGTGCTAGGTGAAGTTTTGAAGCAGTAGGGTAGAAGATTACACCTATTTTATGTCATTAAATGACGCTAAAAGAAGAACCAGTGAAGGGGTAAATACATATTTTGGATTTAAGATTCAACAGAACCACAGTTTGGTGCCAAAGCAGCCCTAACAGCAAAAGCAATAGTACAGTTTATTTATCTTGTTTGCTATTTCCATTCATATCCTTGTTTCAGATGTAGTGCAAAGAAAATGGAAACTCCTTACAGAGAAACAGATGATGAAACTTCTGTAGACAAGCGTGTCAAAGCTGGAATGACAGAAAATAAAACTCATAGGATATGTCAGGTCTAATAATATGAGGTCTCAGCCAAAGCTGAAGCTTCAACAAGCACAAACAAAACAAAAATAATTTGCCCATCATATGTTTGGCTATTAGAAATGTCTCTGAAAAATCAGCTTATGCAGGATTTGACTGCCCACTCATATGCAGCTGATGACTCATGAACCAGCACTTCACGGCCCACTTACAAAGTGCTATAAGGCATGTGGAGTACATGACTCATGCTCCAGTCAACATTAGATCCTACATATCTAGGTACAGAGCAAAGAATGTGTTTTTGTAGAAAACATTCTTATTTTCTTTTTCCCTGGAAACAGCCAAGGGCTTTGAATCATTATCCCAAGAAGAGTCTGGCAGAGACCAGTGCCATGCTAATACACCTACATTCTTCTCCATAGAAAAGGCTGAGTTTGCAACTGCCTAAATCATGCCTTCCCCGGTATCTCTGGAAGTTCTCTGTCTTCGTTCTCTGTTTTAAACCATCCCAGATGTATATGAGCATGTGTTTCAAACTTATCGGTAAGAGCACTCAGAAATGGCCATATGTGCTAATTATAATCCAAATAATTAAAAAAGTTATAATTTGAGCACCAGCTCATCTCTTCTCTGCTTCGTTAACATCCCTCCTCTGGTTATGTCAGTCTTTGTCCTACTGACTGGACAGAGCACTGTGAAGGTAAGCAGCCCCTCAGAAACTGAGCATATAGCTTCTCTGATAATGTTCCTTCTACTGCATCAGCAAAGTCACCCTGACTGCACAGTCACCTTCCAGGTCTATTTGCCATCAACGTCCACTACACTGAAATGTATTCTCACAGACCTTATTTGGGTACTCTACAGCACTTTGCTGAGTGATGTAGTTAAAATTATAGACATGGCTTAAAAGTTTTCTAGTGCTGGAATTCTACTGGAGTCAAATCATGTCTCCATCTGTCAGCATATCGTGACCATCCTGCAAGTTCTTGCAGTGACTGCAATAGTTGTGAGCACAACACCGTGTCCTTCCAGTCTGGGGATTGGTCCAGGTACCTCATCTTCTGCTCTGTTGCAACCTAGATTTAGGCAGAGAGGCCCTTAAATTCTACACACATCCCTAAGGGGGTAGATCCAGTATGCCTTCTCAGAATATTTACCCTCAGCACTGAGATCATGGAAGGAGAAGAAGGAAATGTTGACTCTGACTTCATTAGAGAGAACAGGAAAAGTGCAGATTCTGCATAATAGCTCAGTGATTAGAGCACTTGACCAGTAGTGGGAGAGCTGGACTTTTCTCACTGAAGCCATTGCATTCACATCCCAGGAAAGTTTCCTAACCACTGCCTTTCACTGGGCTCAAAGAAGGAAACAATCTCCAAGTAAGCCACTGTGCAGCCAGGAATGCAAGTGAGAGGTCAAAGAAAATCAGAAAGTGATGCTGGCCAAGTGGTAACAGCACACATCTAAGGGAGAGGATCATCTAGGAAAAGGAGTTTTGGGATGCTAGTTCATTTTTTGTTTCCATTGGAAGAAAAAATATGGAACTAATTTCAAAATTCAACATTTTTAAGAGAAAGTTGCAATCACAGGAGAAATCAGAAACAGAAAAGTTTCCCCACAAATGAACTTGTATTTCTTGGAAACTTTCTCATTAAACTTAAGCTAAATGCTGTTTACCTTTATCACTTTTCCTATAACTCTACCATGTAGTCACAATATAAGGGTAAAATAACAATTAAAGTGTATGTCACTGTGAAGATCTGTGCCATATGAGTAATATCCTGTGCGATGGCATATGGCTATTATGGCATCACATGTTGTATCATTTCTTTCCCTTTTTGAAATTGGATCTTTACATTTGCTGCATACCAGAAGATCAGCTTGCTTTCTTATATGCTCCCTGATGGAGTCAGAGGCCTCCCTAGGATGACATGCTTCCACAGACTTGGGTGGCAGCCAAGTTTATTAATTTTGATGGAGCTGCAGTGATTCATGGTAATGCTTTATTTACTGCTGCCGTGGTGTCTAGGAGCACTAGGAATGGCCTAGGCCCACAATTTACCTTATCAGAAAGGTAAAATTTATATTCAAAGACTTCAAATGAAGAATCAGACAACAACAGATGGAGTTCTTGTAGACACAGCAAAACGGACAGCAAGGCATGGGGCCACTGATAACATTAACAGGCTATGTTCTGCTTCCATTGAACTCTCCTAAATCAAGGCATGTAACCATTGCTCAGCTCCATGTTACAAGTTCAAAAACAATGACAAAAGATCCTACAGTATTTTGTCCTCAAATAGCCTCCTACACATTCCTGATTCAAAGAAAGATAACATGAAAACTCCAACACACGGCAACATCGTTCATCACAAAAGAATGCAAGCACATAGCACATGGAGAAAATGTGTATAATAAATACAGCTGGAGTGCATTCCATGACAATTTGAGAGAAATGTCAGTTATATTTATTTTTCCAACTGTTTGCAAGATTTTCTTGAACACTTATTACAGAATCGAACCACAGATCTACAGATCACTAACAGGCAGCATCCTGTACCCTTGAAAA